CCGGCCCATGTATTCTTGCCGGACTCCCTTCTATTTCCCTTGCTCACCAGTTTGGAAGGTTTGGAAGAAGGATCCTGTTCTTAGGCACACTTACAGGGCTACCTGCTGATTGATTGCAGTTGAATTTTGAATGCTTTACAGGTTTTAGTGGCTATGATTATTGGTTGTACAGCTACTCTCCATTTGGAGAGAGATGGTTTGGGTCTCTCCGCCCACAGGCTGGGACATAGTTTTGTCAATTGTAGATGTATCCATTTTCTGTCATATTTTGTTGATTTTCTAATCCCTTCAAATAATGCAGGTGTTTCAAAAAGTGAGAAATCTGGAGAATTTCTTTGAGGCACAGCATCAGTTATTTCCTATGCTGCTCTAGTTCTTCCTCTTCCTTTGATAAAGCAGTTTAGGAGCAGAATTTTCACTGGCCCAGAAGCTCCCACAGTTAACCATGGCCTTGGAGTGAAGAGATAGGACTGTGTGGCAGCTGGTTGCCTAGATCTGCTCAAGTGTGAATCCATGGTTCATGGTTCTGGGCTAACGTTAAGTTTTCTTTGGCTTTATCTATAACTTGATGAAGATGGACTCAAGAGGTTGAAGAACTTTCTAGTTTTGTACTAAGAGTTGTTTGAGAAGATCTCCACTTTGCATGAGTATTTTGTTGAATTTAGTGCAAGCAGCTTGCTGTTTCTTGGTTGTAGGCCTATCCTGTTTTGTGGGTGTGATTTTCATTAACATTTTGGCTCAGAAAATGAGATGAAAAAAATTCTCTTAGAAGCTGGTAATAGTTCAATGTAAGGACATCTCAAATGTCATGGACCCTGATGACATTTCTAAAATATCCTTTTCATGTTTAAAAGCTTGACAGGTTTTCTAATTCTATACACATAGTAAATAAAGACCATGAACAATCAGAGCTTTACTTTGATTTCTGGGGTTTACTTTTTGATGATAAATGAATTGCAAGAATCAGCAGCTAAAGCAAATTCTGCTACTCAAACTGTAGTTTCCCATAAAGATGTTTTGCGACCAC